GATCAAGTGCATCATTCGCTTGGCGTCGCTTATCACCTCGTCGTGCTACCGGTCGCAGTCGGCGTCGCAGCGCGCATTGCTTTATTGTACAACGCTTTCTCCGAGTCACACCTCTTGCTGTCGGCCGCTCGAAACGACAGCTCGTTGCGGCAAGCAGCAGCGCTGGGAACGACGGACGTCGGCCGCGTGCCGAGCGGCCTTTCCGACACGTGTTTCGGCCTACCCGCTTGCATCATCGTCGCGTCGTCAACATTGTCGGTCACGCCGTCGTCGTGCTGCGCGGTGACGCGCACGCCGTACCTGCGCGGGAGCGGCAGCACAGCGCTCTCGGCCAACCTCGCCCCGTCGCGACGTCGGCTCGGCCGTGTCGGCCTGCTGTCGCCGGCGGCGTTCGTCGTCGATCGGCCGCGATGGATTCGTCCTGCGTCGGCGCTTCTTGCGCCCTCGTCACCTTGCTTCAGCGTCCGGCCATCCGTGATTGACGACCTCATCCGCTTCAAACGTTCGACCGCTACGTGGATACTGTCGCGTCGCTGCGCTACACAATCAGGTCATGACCCGGCTGCAGTCGTCCGCCGTCATGATCGCGGCTCGTGGAGCGTCGCCAATTCGTCGTCCGGCGTCGTCAGTTTCATCGAATAACAACATGGTCCCCGATCAAGCCGCTTCTGTATGACGTCATCAGCGGCCAAGGCGACGATGATTTGCCGGCGTCGCTCTTCGTCGCTATCTGCGGGACGTCGCATTCGTCGTCATCCTCGCGTTAGACATGATTGCTCGTCGCTAGGCCGACACCACGGCGCATCCAGCCGTGCCGCCGCCGACGACGAGCAACGGTTTACCTCCCAGCGACTGAGCTCCGGAGGAGCCTTCGCTCTTTCTCCGAGGCGCTCGCCAGGAATCTGAAGCTTGGCGAAGACGTTCGGGCATCGTCGTCGGCGCCGTTTCTTTCGTCTTGCTGTGCTCCGTACTTTCGCGCGTAGGCTGCTTGAGTTGTGTTCGAGGTGCGACGGGAGGCCGCTCGCGGAGATGCCTGCGGGGTGGGACACGTGCATAGGACCTGCTGGTTTCAGCTCGAGCGTTAACGTCTTCGTTCTACGCCGACAGAGCGAGCATTCCGCCAGCGCGCGTTCGGGCGGTGCGTTGGCCTCGCGTGGCGCGATCTAGAAGATGTGAATAAAAGCTGAGAGAATGAAATGTTGTCATCGCACAATGGGCGACCGTCATTTGGGACGAATTGCAAGCAAGAGGCAACTATGTGGTTCAAGGTTTCCGCTTTAGTTTATATTATGTTTATTTTTCACAAGCCAGGTTATTCAAGATAGTGGGCATTCATTTTTAGCCACGTGCTGTTGGCGCGACTCTGATAGACATCACCACGCCAAGGAGAACGCCAACGTAAACTTTATTAAGCGTGTTTGAAAAGCTTCATGTATATACCCGCATATATATGTTCAGCCCTCTATACTTATATATATATATATATATATATACTATATATAATATGTAATATTATATGACTGAGGCAGCGTGGGGAGCTAGAAGAGAGGAGGAGGGACTGTGCGTATTTCGTCTTAAAGAAAGGGAGAAGGGGGAAGCGCGGAGTGAGAAAGGAAAGGGCAGTATGTACGCTATGCATGTACCTGCGTGTTTGTGTACAATGTGCGCGCATTGTGTCGGTGTGTGCGCATGCGAGACGTTGCTAGCGCGTGGCGCAGCGCGCGCGCGTCGGGGACGTTCTCCAGTGTGTGTGTGTAACACGAGCGCGATTCTGGTGTTTCCTATTTATGAATCGTGCTTGGAAACACACTTTACGCCACAAATGGCAGAGTACATACCTACATAGTAATTTGGACCATGCGACCATATGTATTTGCTTTCTAATAATATTCTTGTCCGATACGGTAATTGGATTCTCGTTTGTGAATCATGTGATCCGGATTCATTCATGCAAGTGCGTTTTGAAACGACACGAACCTCTAGCTTTTACTACTCTTACTTCAAACCGCGGTCCGTCCGCGGATCTAGTCTGCGCGGGAGTTACTGTCGATTGAATGCCATACCGTTGATTGAACGGCACGTTCGTACCGACAAAACCCGACGACATGGCGCCAGTCTTGCTGTGCGCTGGGCTGACACGGTCCTGTATATTATTTCAATTACATGGTTTTGCGTTAAGCATTTCATTAGCAGGTGTCGTCATCGATAATGAGTACGGGTATAAATGGGGTAAACAGAGGTTGCATGTGTCTTTCAAAACCACTTGCATAACGAATTCTGACAGATTGAGCCTCTCCCAGGGGTTTTCGGGAACAAGGGAACAGGTGACATTGACGAATTATTTTCAGGGAACAAGGGCACTGCTGATTAGATTTTGGGGAACAAGGGAGACTAACCTTCCATCTTTCTGATGTGTTCACAGTTTTCTGAGGCTGTTTACAATAAACGTTGAAGTATTTCAGGGTCATTTCAACATCGGGTGCTGTAGGCACCATTAGAGTCCACAGTTATAGGTCCTTTAATTTTCACTCCAGCGTCACAGTTTGCTTCCTTCGGGAGTTCAAATTAGCGGTGTTTTGGTGTATTTACTTATCGTATTTACATATATATATATATTATACATATATATATTCGGGCATTTTCCACTCACCATCATTGCCTAGGTTGGCGTGTACTTGCGGTTCGCAACGCTTCTTAAGCAACAGAAAAAAAAACCGTTAAAATCCTGTACCCGCCCCATGTCTTCTTTAACGTTTACGTAGTTCAGTAGCGTACTGATTGGGTTGTTCGACGAATGATGGTCGAGGCGTAGCGAGCGCAGTGGATCTATTATCCTTATAGCGGTGTAGTACCCTGCCATGTTTGCTAGCACCAACCACCAACCACCCACCCATTCACGCACCCCCCAATCTCCCACGCACCAACGCACCGACACACTCACCGCCCTACCCACCCACCGACCTACCCGCCCACCACAGTTGCACGTTTATGGCTGGAAATGCTACATCATTATTACTCTATTGTACTGTGATGCGTCTGTTCGCTGGGGGTTAGCTCGATGAATGCCCGTTGCACGGTCCTCAAATCAATCTATAAGTCCGCTGTGACGGTGGGACGTAAAGTTTTATTATGTACAGCTTATACCATACACATACTCATGCAAAATCATTAATGCGTATACTATAATTCAAATCAGTGGAAGTGAGTTTCATCGCGTCAAATATTATATTATTACTACGTATTACTAACAAGTACGATTTACGCGAGAGAAATACGAAAACGTAAATCATCAATACGTGCAATATAATACAAGCAAGTACAAGTAAGTTCATCGTCAAATATTACAATCATAACAAGTACGATAACTCGAGAGGAATACAAACAGATTTACCTATAAGTCCGCAGTGACGGTGTGACGTAAAGTGCCGATGCCTGGCAGATATGGCTTATATAGCGGCAACGCGAAACCGGATTAGCGGAAACTATTTTGGCGGGAAACTATTTTGGCGGGAACCAGTAAGCGATGCTGGTGTGCCCGTCATTGTCGCCAAGCATCGCGTACTTCGTCAAGCCATCTTTTCCCTGTCGCGAGTTGCCAAGTCCGTCATTGTCTTACACGCCAAGCATCGCGTACTTCGTCAATCCATCTTTTCTCTGACGCGAGGTGCCAAGTTCGTCATTGTCTTAAACACCAAGCGTCGCGTACTTTCGTCAATCCATCTTTTCTCTGGCGCGAGTGCCAAGTTCGTCATTGTCTTAAACACCAAGCGTCGCGTACTTTCGTCAATCCATCTTTTCTCTGGCGCGAGGTGCCAAGTCCGTCATTGTCTTAAACACCAAGCGTCGCGTACTTTCGTCAAGCCCTCTTTTCTCTGGCGCGAGGTGCCAAGTCCGTCATTGTCTTAAACACCAAGCGTCGCGTACTTCGTCAAGCCATCTTTTCTCTGGCGCGAGTTGCCAAGTCCGTCATTGTCTTACACGCCAAGCGTCGCGTACTTTCGTCAATCCATCTTTTCTCTGGCGCGAGGTGCCAAGTCCGTCATTGTCTTAAACACCAAGCGTCGCGTATTTCGTCAATCCATCTTTTCTCTGGCGCGAGGTGCCGGTGCTTCTGTCATTGTCTTACACGCCAAGCATCGCGTACTTCGTCAATCCCTCTTTTCTCTGGCGCGAGTTGCCAAGTCCGTCATTGTCTTACACGCCAAGCATCGCGTATTTCGTCAATCCATCTTTTCTCTGGCGCGAGGTGCCAAGTCCGTCATTGTCTTAAACACCAAGCGTCGCGTACTTCGTTAATCCATCTTTTCTCTGGCGCGAGGTGCCAAGTCCGTCATTGTCTTAAACACCAAGCGTCGCGTACTTTCGTCAAGCCCTCTTTTCTCTGGCGCGAGGTGCCAAGTCCGTCATTGTCTTAAACACCAAGCGTCGCGTACTTTCGTCAAGCCATCTTTTCTCTGGCGCGAGGTGCCGGTGCTTCTGTCATTGTCTTACACGCCAAGCGTCACATCGCCGCTTAGCACGAAGTCCAGGTGCGTTCCGTCACTGTCCTTCACCGCTTGCCGATTACAGTACCTCTCTGCATGACATGGCAAGAAGAGAATGGATATGCGATCGACCGACTGCCGGTTGAGACGATGGTACAAAGGCACGAGCGAAAAGGACGTTAGAATCTGTCGTAAGAAGCTAAAATGGCTTTTGTACCTCCAACTTGGCATGTTTACCGTTTCGTTGCTCTACGAAATTTAACGCGATGTTGGAAAGTGAGACGTAGTTGACAGATATGCGTATAGAGAGATCGCGAGGAAGAATATGAAACACAGAGAGAGATGATGGGGGAGAGAGAGAGAGAGAGAGAGAGAGAGAGAGAGAGAGAGAGAGAGAGAGAGAGCTAAGAGGACCAGGCGAGCGACAGCGAGAGAACGAGACAGAAAAAGATGGAGGGCAGGGGTATCCGAGTGAGAGAGAGACAATGAGCAAATTAAGAGACACCAAAATAGTAATGAATTGGTCAGCATGTTTTATTACGATAATCGTGTGCTACAATGAAAACGTGATGTTTCAAGTACATTTATACCATCAACGAGAGATGTCTAAAACTACACATAATATAAGGCAACTACTGATGCGCTGCGTACATGAATGACACCGCCCGCGTTACATCTTTGTCCAAAACATGCTTCACGATTCGTGTTGAGCGAAGTACGTGTTGGAGAACATGGAATGTGGAACGGTGTAGATCGATGTTCGTAGTTCGTGAACCCTCCCATAGAACATTGCAAGTCGATGTTCATGGTTCGTGAAGCCTCCCACGGAACTGTGTGTTCATGGTTCGTGAACCCTCTCATGGAACAGCGGAGATGGATATTCATGGTTCGCGAACCCTTCAATAGAACAGCGTAGATCTATATCCATTGTTCGTGAACTCTCCAATGGAACATCGTAGATCTATATTAATGGTTCGTGAACACTCTGATGGACCAGCGCAGTTAGATGCTCTGGCTTCGTGAACCCTCACATAGAACAGCGTGGATCTATGTTCATGGTTCGTAAACCCTCCCATGGAACAGTGTACGTCAATATTGTGGTTCATGAACCCTCAGATGGAACAGTGTGAGTGAATGTTCATGAACCTTTAGATAGAGCAGTGTGAATTGATGTTCGCGATCCCTCAATCGTATCAGCGCAGATCGATCATACTCCTGCTTAGTTCACAGAACATCAGCGGCAAACAAACGCCGGAACATCACGTTGTTCCTCCGTTCCTGATCGTCTGTGATGTCTTCATCGGTGCTGCACGATAGAAAATAACAAGTTTTCACAACTCATGCAGGTGACAACTAAAATTGCTCTCAATATATTATGAGGAGCACATGAACTTTCTTCACGTGCTCTTTCTTATTATTAACAGTGTGAAAGGCAATAAACATATTCGAAGACGTACAAAATGGTCAGATAAAATCATGTTGTGGATGGGGTATTCACTTCCAAAGCTGTTTGTTTGCCAGTTACAGCAACTTAACCAATGGTTAAAATGATGAGGATTATTATGTGTGGGGCATGGCAAAGAATTCTTCAATTATCGCCTGCTACCTATCTACGTATACAGCAGATCATTAAAAAATTTACAGATCTTCATTTTGAACTAATACTTCCCTTACATAACTTCCTTCCCCCGCTCCTCACTGCAGTTAGAAAAATGCGAGCCTCAACCAGCTGTAGCTACCAATCTCTGCAGCACCACTTAGCAACTTAGACTCACCTTTCATCTTCAATGTCACGCTTACCAAATCCTCGCGCAGTCTGCATGGCGGATGTCTTGAAACCTCGCCTGTTCACGTACCTGCGAGAGCGAGAATATCGTAAAACCCACCAACAACACTCGCGTTAACCAACAAACATAGTGATCGATGGCATTTACAGCAGTTCAATCCGTTGAAAGCTCTCTAAATATTAAATTACATGTATATATAATAATAATAACATCTCTATATAATATATATAATTTAAGCCGCAACGCAGTTATGTTTGTCGTTTCTGCATGGGATATTGTGAACCTGGTACTATACTAGCAGATTCTATACCAAGATATGGCTTACACTAAACACGTCATGTGCGATTTATCTAAAAAATATTATACGATTTATCTATAATGAACGATTTATTTATCTACGGAACGTGCCTGGCACTGTGGCAGTCAAGGTACAAGACCCCCGGGGTGTCAGCCCTGTGGGATGATCATGGATTATTATAGGAGAGAGGCGATTTTCTGACGCGGTAATCTTCGCCACGGTGAGGAACAAACCCACGCCACCGATCTCAGTGTATAGCCCGTATGTCGGGCACCAACATAGGCTTATCCATATTTGTTAAATCCACCCATATTTGTAGATATAATGACGATAAATAGGCCTTAATATGGGCGATAATTTTAGCAGTGGGGTGATGTTAGAAAAGTAGAACAGCCGAATTCCCGCGGATGTAGCCATCTAGCGGGCAAGAGCCAAAACTTTGTTAATACCAGGTTACACTTTTTAAACTATGCCTAATTTATACATTTTTTAATGCACTCAGTTGTCAGTTGAATCTCGAAAGCCGCACAACACACACTTTTAGTGGTTCATTTTCGTTCATTTGTATTTTTAAAATTGTAATTTGTCTGTGTATACATTCGGACATAATGTATAACATGGCATAAAGAATTAAGTTTGTTAAAATCAGGTGCTATTCATCTTTTTGATAATTTCATCTATGGTGACTTCACTGGTGCAGAACTCTGCGAAATTGACCAACTAATTTGGTTAAAATGAGGTGATATCTATACGTTTGGAGAAATATTAACTTTTTAAAATCTGCTCATTATTTTACGATGAAAGTGACCCTGAACTGATACCGTGCTATATTGGCGGGTTTAGTTAATTGACCTATGTATTTAGTTTAGTTTAGTTTTCATGTATTATTTTGATGTAAAGCGAATCCCAATCATAAGAGAGACACGTAACAGATGTCACCAATTGTGTATTTAAAAGGCGAGACGAGGCTTGCAGGGCCAGAGAGGCAACTTGGCGCAATTTCATAAAAATGTTGTATATTCAGAAGCTTTGACTACACAGAATCATAGAATCGTTCGAACTGTTTTTGTCAGAATATTGCTTATTGATTGTTTTTCTGTTACTAATCTATCCTTAGAATTAAGTAAGAAATGTTATAAAAAGGTAAACCGAGCCACCCGCTACCCTAGAGTGTCGGCTGAGAATTAGCCTTGCGTGTATACCATGCTGGTGGGAGGGTGATTACTGTCTTCTATATTCATCCCGGAATCTCTACCCGTAGATTGAGTCCGTGTGGCTGGATAGTGGTTAGATTGTGAATCCAGTACGCTTCTCTTTCCTTTCTGACGGGGATCGTATGGGTGAAGGGGGGGGGGAATATTTTAGAATTAAGTAAGTACAGATGTGGCTGAATTTGCTCTTAAAAGTTGTTCCTACGCGTTTTTCCCCGAGCAACGCCGGAATATAGCGAGGAAGGAGGGGCTTAAGGGGGAAGGGGACCCCTACATTCCTAGGGTATGTGCATAGCTCAACCTTAGGTAATGTGAGGTATGGATGCTGGGAGGGTTAGGTCTGTGCCACCTTAGGTATGGTGGGCTATGATCGCTGGGTGGGAATGGGTATGTGCTCCCTCGCTGCAGCCCTCTGGGTTTGCTATCACAGACTCAAACATACAACGGTGGCAGTAAGCACAATGTAAAACAGTAGAGCTAGTTATCCATACACGCACGCACGCACGCACGCACGCACACACACACACGCGCGCGCGCACACACATACACAGGTTCAGCAGGTGGGTGTCAGAGTGCACGATGGAATTCGACGATACAAATTGACGATACTCAAAGATATCCTAGAAATAGCGTAGGATTAATGAAATTCCTAGGTTGTTTAGTTATTAATTGTTAAAAAACAAACACATCAATTGTTCTAGTCCGCACACACGACACTTACAGAGCTTCGTCCCGTAGCCGATCCATCGCCATGCCATCCACGTCTCCTCCTCCTCCTCCAACTCCTCCGTCGCGCTTCCCAAATCCGCGGGCCGTCTGCATGGCCGACGTCCGCCACCCCCTCCGCTCACGTCCGCTCGCCAGCGACGCGAACGTCGCCACACACGCCAGCGACAGCATCACCACCAGAGAGAGCTTCATGTCGGCGAAGGCTATAAGGGGAAGCGGAGTCGGGGTGGATTATGTCATAGATTGAGAATATCTTACGGTTATTCTTAGTCAATAGTTATATATGCTCGCTGCTAGAGAGATATAGCGCAGGTAGACATGGTGATGGGGGGGGGGGAGGTACTGCCAGATACAATATGTGTATGATGATAATTTGTACTATCATAATACATGACAAAGAATCATGAGCGAAACTGTTCGACGAAAATGTTGCTGGTACTGGTCCCCTGATTGTCACCTTCAATTTCAAAGTAGCAAAGTGATGAAAAGGCTGGTAGCAAAGTGATGGAAAGGCTGGTAGCCAAGGAAAGTATAGGACAGCCAACGACAGTCTATGACAGTGAAAGACAGTCTACGACTAGTTAAAGGCAGTCAAGAACAGAGCCAAGGCGCAGTCGAGTCGCACACCTTATTTTATATGATCTCTAGCAACGAGTAAGGTTGAAAGGCCCTTTTAGCACTACATAGTTTTCACCGCTCTGCATTACAAGATGTAGTGTGGTAGCAATGAAAGCACGAACGACACAGTGCTGGCTAACTAAAGCTACTGGCCGTACAAGTATATATGTCGAAGGATTCCGCGTTTGATATCAACTCCGATTAATAAAAGCAGGTGAAATTCACACGCAGTCAGACCTGGAAGACGGAAGCCAACCCCTCGACGTACGCAGGAACGTCAACCGACCCAACAAAGTATATTTGATCTCTCTATGCTAAGTGGATCGCGTAACCACGTAATATATATATATATATATATATTACATCGCAGTCTACTTTAGCTATAATCCTCGATCACAACATTGCTCTTCTTCAATACAGCCTACCTTTGTATCACCCACTGGACAAACAACATAGGTGGGTGTATAGCCTATATTTGTACCAAACACTGGGCGTCTTGTTACCTTTGCATCAGACAGACTGGGCAAGGGCGTAGCTACCATAACGCAGATACGTAGTTGCGTACACATCATTTCACCAAACTTTTTTTTATCGCAGAGAGAGAGAGAGAGAGAGAGAGTCAGTCAGTCAGACTAAATTGTTTACTACACATTGAATAATGAACGCGACTTACACAATGCCGTGATGTGCAGTGAGGGATGTGAACACACACGCGCCCACACGCATACGCTCGCGAGCACGCGCGAAAGCGCACAGAGAGAGGGAGAGAGAGAGAGAGAGAGAGAGAGAAAGAGAATGAGAGTTTAAGAATGTGCGTTAATTCAACGTCTTGATAATAAAACGAAAAATTACATGATTAGTTATAGTGATCGTTAGTGATCACATCTTGTTGCTAATGACGAGAATAGTTCTACTAAAAAGATTATTGTCGTAGTCAGAATGAAGGCTGTACATTTACTCAAAAGTGCCTCAAATACCATCTCCTGCAATCTACATTTTCAACATTTTCTGGGGGAAGACCCCCAGACCACCCCGCCGGTGTGCGTACACATCCATTTTACCTTAGCTACGCCCCTGCTGGGCATCACCCTACCTTAGCATCAAACACTGGGTGTCATGTTACTTTCGTATCACACGCTGATTGTCAGCCTAACTCAGTCGCACCATCGATATATACAAACACATACTGGGTAAATTTCATCCTACCTTGGCACACGTTGATGGTTTTAGTTTCCATGAGAGTGACGATGACAGCTGGAGTAGGTGACAGAGATAGCGTCTTTTTCTCGCAATCTCTCTCGTTCGTCGTTCTATGCTAGCGCGCACGTATATATATATACACACGCACATACCGGGTGAGTGTCATCCTACCTTGGCACACGTTGATGGCTTTAGTTGCGATGGGAGTGACGATGACAGCTGGAGTAGGTGACAGAGATAGCGTCTCTTTTTCTCTCACTCTCTCTCTCTCTCTCTATCTTTCTCATTCGTCGTTCTATGCTAGCGCGTACGTATTTACACACGCACATAGTGATACCGAGTGAGTGTCATCCTACCTTGGCACACGTTGATGCTTTTAGTTGCGATGAGAGTGACTATGACAGATGGAGTAGGTGACAGAGATAGCGTCTCTCTCTCTCTCTCTCTCTCTCTCTCTCTCTCTCGTTCGTCATTCTATGCTAGCGCGTACGTATATATACAAACACATACTGGGTAAGTGTCATCCTACCTTGGCACACGTTGATGGTTTTAGTTGCGATGAGAGTGACGATAGCTTCTCTCTCTCTCTCTCTCTCGTTCGCCGTTCTATGCTAGCGTGTACGGGCGGCGGGTCGGGCTTTTATGCATCGGCTCGCGCTAGAGTCGGTTTTAATCAGAGCGGCGGGGAGCAACGAGACGAGACGATGGCGTAGCAAAGAATTTCACGCCTCCCCTGCGCCGCTACGAACTCTAATCAACCCCACGGTGAAGCCCTAATGAAGCCCACACGCGGGCTGCAGCATCCTCATCCTCTGTGTTCGACTGGGTGGTTGTGTGGGTGTGTGGGGGGGGGGAGACCGGGTTCTCCTTTCTGCGTAGTTACGTCGGGGGCATAATTGCGTGCTTACTGACCTACGAACGACTTCGCGAAAAGACGAACAAAGCAATCGGCGACGCAGTGTAGACATGAGCATCGAGAGAGCGAGAGCGCGTTCGAGCGCAAATTTATTTAGAATACGATTCAACCCGGGCGCGTACACGTTATTTTCGACATTTAATTTTCACGCGCGAGACGAGCGACCGCCACACGGAATAAAAACGGAAACCAAATGGAATTAAAAAAAGGGAAGCGTTCGAATTGATGCCGCGAAACCATTCCTCTCGCGAGAAATGCCGATCTGTGTGTGCGCGCCACACAGGCGTGTTCGACAATTGTTCGACGTCATTCGCGGAACATCAGCACGTGCGTTCCGAACCACAGATGAGCGATCGGCTCGACGGCAGTGGGACCGGACGACGTCGTCAGCTGCCGGCAATCCGGGAATCTTCCCGCTGCGATGCAACGCTGCGTTTTAGATCGGCGAGATCGTCGTTCCACTGTAGCGAACGCCGGATCGCGACGAAGAACATGTGGTAGTGGTGCAGGTTGTGCCTGTGAGAGAGGAGAGATAAGGAACATGTGGTAGTGGTGCAGGTTGTGCCTGTGATAGACGAGAGATAAAGAACATGTGGTAGTGGTGCAGGTTGTGCCTGAGATAGACGAGAGATAAAGAACATGTGGTAGTGGTGCAGGTTGTGCCTGAGAGAGACGAGAGATAAAGAACATGTGGTAGTGGTGCAGGTTGTGCCTGAGATAGACGAGAGAGAAAGAACATGTGGTAGTGGTGCAGGTTGTGCCTGTGAGAGACGAGAGATAAAGAAGATAAGCGATAAAGACAAAAAGAAAGATAAAGACATTATAGACTATAGAGAGATGAAGACAAAAAGAGAAAAAGACGATAGAGAAAACCCGACGTGAGAGAGATTCCCTGGAGCGGCAGAGCGCGGCTGGTAACACCGCTGCACTGCGATCGATGTAAATGAAAAAAAATGTAAATCGATCAAGTGTAGATTAATGTTGTCAGAGTTCGTGAGCAGCAAACGCAGTGCAAACGTTTGAAGAGACGCAACCAGCGAAAAAAATCGGGAATCGCAGACAAAACTTTCAAAATGTTTTGTCTTGGTCTGAAAGAGACCAAGAGCTCAATATGACTAAGAGAATAATACCTAATCAGATCTAGAATGAAAACTATGTGAATATATATGCAGAGAAGTGCAAGAAGTTGTCTGCGGATTACGACGCCCCACGATAATCTCCGATCACACCGACAATTAACCGCCCGCACGATTCCGGTCCGATCGACCTTCACGTGACCTCGCAACGACCCCTTACATCATCAGCAGGATCTTGCCGAGGAGTTCGCCGACGTTGATCAGGTGGTGGACGTACGCCCGCGTGTACGTCGTGCACGTGTAGCACTCGCATCCCGCCACCAGGGGGCGCAGGTCATCGCTTAACCTGCAAAGAGCGGGAGTGCTGAGAAGAGTCGGCAGGTGTACCGACAGACAGTGACAATCGTATTTAATGCGTCAGAAATTATTATTTGTCAATTAAAAATCGAACTTCTGTGTCATGAGATGATATATGTTGGTAATATAAGGCTACATACTTCACTGTGAACTGCTCACTCCAGCAACACATATATGTATAATATCATGCAGTTATATCTACACAACACAATACATCTAACCACTACCGTACAATATCACGAACATTTCCATTGTATAGGTATGTTGATGCTAATAAAATTCATTGGTATAACAAAACGTCATATATCAGTATAATAAAATAGCATATGCACTATCACACAAACAATCAATATAATTTATTATTTAATTATAGTATATATCAATATTATGAAATCACTCTGCTACTTGTACACGAACCTTTTGTCGTCCAGCTGAATTTTCCAAGATGGAGACACATCTGTCTCATCAGCTCTCTTCAAATCTGCAGCAGAGGTGCCATCTATTCCAAAATGGAACGTCAAAGCCGCCGATTGGCTGGTTACTAAGAACGGATAGCTGATGGACCGAGTTAAGGAATTGCTTTTGTAAAAGCCACAAACTCTGCCAAACATCACACCTTAAAGTTGATAAACCTCGCAACTAAATGCATATATATATACCTACTGTGAGCTTGCATATGTTGCAAACATTCACTACAACTCATTTGTATTGCTACTTTCATAACATTTCTTCTCAAAAACCAAACGAAAATACTTCTATTGCGAACGTAGCGCCACAGTGATGTTTACACATCCGGGACACAGCGAAGCAATCGGCTTAATTCATTAACAGTTCCTTTCTATGATAAAACAAGTTATAATTGATTATTCGATGTTTATTCAGTACAAAATTGTGAAATTTGTTTAAATCATATCGTTATCTATATTACTTATGCAATCAGGAAACAAATATAGTGTTTTCGTTCCAGGAACTATTTGTGCCAGCATAGGGCCACTGCTAGCTGCGTAACAAACCCGCGTCCGACAAACTTTTCAAAATAGTCAACTTCAGAGCATATTTCTGGCTCAATGAGAACATTTCGTGATGTTTGCACACTACAAGTATGCTCACAGTAGGTCTATAGAGGCTTTTTGTTGCGAGGTTTATCCATTTTAAATATCAACTATCACTTTCATTAATTGTACCCATGCAGTTGTTCGTTCAAACTTGGCTATTTTTGCGACGGAATTCTTCAGGTTAAGTAATTAATTAGAAGTAATATTCAAGCATAAGTGAGACGTGAATAAGGAATCTTCAGGTTAATTAATTAATTAGATATAATTAATTAGAAGTACTATTCATGCATAGGTGTCGCGTGCATATGGAATTTTTCAGGTTAACTAATTAATTAGAGATAACTAATTATAAGTATTATTCAAGCATAGGGGTCACGTGAATATGGAAATATTCAGGTTAAGTAATTAATTAGAGCTAACTAATTAGAAGTATTATTCAAGCATGGGTGTCACATGAATACAGAATTCTTCAGTTTACCTAATTAATTTAAGATAATTAATTAGAAGTATTATTCAAGCATAGGTGTTGCATGACTATTGAATTCTTTAGATTAACTAATTAATTAATGACAATTAATTAGAAGTATTATTCAGGGACAGGTGTGCGTACAAGGATACGACGAGTCAAACATGTCAATGCCAAGCTCCACGGCTTCCAGGATGCTTCCGGGATTCAGCGGACCGGGAAGAAGCCTCGGTTTATCATCCGGCAGCTCATCCTGTTCGACGACAACACGATAAAATATGTATTACGACTATTTCGGTAAAAATAATTACTACATAGTTATGCTCGATCCTGCATCATGCGTGTACACGTGCGTGCTTATGTGCATTGCTGTGTGTGTGTGTGTGTGTGTGTGTGTGTGTGTGTGTGTGTCTGTGTGTGTGCGTGCGTGCGTGCGTGTGTGCGTGCGTGTGCATGTGTGTGCATGTGT